CCTTTTTCTGCTTGCTTCTTGATGAAAACATAATGACGTGCAAATTCTATATACCTAAGAGAGTGATCTCCACTACTTCTAATTATCTTGACATGCATACTTCCACATCATCAAAATTGTTATAGCCGTTAAATTTACTATCAAGATTAACTAGCATCCATCTGATCTACACACGAGAATTCCCTATGGTGCACCATGCACTAGTGGATTTTAAGCGGGTTTTAAATCACACTAGATTTAATTATGATACAACCCACTGCTTTTTTTTCTAGACGTGCAACCATGTCACGTCAACATATCATGCATATAAGTTATAAATTACATTTTTTGTATTAGCATATCCGTGCAGCACTGCCACATCATCAGTTCCTGCATGCAAGTCATCAGTTGTTTTCTTTAGAATGACACTTTTAAATGTAATCTAATTTCTTTTCTCTTTTACACATGCTTTTGTTATATGCTTATATTTTTTAATGTTTTAAATTGTATATCAAGAAAAACTCTTTCATTTCATTTTATTAATTTTAGTTGTTTATCTAGCATCCAATTACGCATTTAACAAAATTACCGCATCAACGTGCGGGGTATCATCTGCTTAACACAGTGCAGTCGACATATATTGCCAGTTCTGCACACTGACTCGGAAGCCACAGTGCAGTTTGTTTATGCAGCCCCGGCCTCTACTTTCCATGGTGCTCCCAACCAAGTCCCAAGTGGTTCTCCTTGTCATCCGCTCTAGCGCGGTAGACAACCAATATATGGTTCCACTAACGCCTAATCTGTTCCTTCCTTTTGATTGCCTTGAGAGATATTAGCAGCGCACTAGCACGCACTTGCGCATGCACGCTCAAAAGGCATGGAGACAAAATTAAGCGCCCGTTATACCATCCACCTCTCGATCGCTTTCCGTTATTCTAAGGAGAATTTTGGACGAGCCGATCAGGCCAATATCCAGGCCAGCTATCTATATAAACCATGTTATGTACTGCTCGAATGCTTCAGTCAGCGCTCGAGGGAACTGAGGACTAGAGCTAGAGAGAGCTGAGAGAAAGAAGAGGAAGATGGGCTCCAGCAGAGTTGGTAGAGTTTCAGTTGTTCTTCTACTGCTCATCGTCGTTTTGGTTTGCGCCGCAGGTCGGTTGTTTCCCCTGTTCTCACCCGTTTGATTTTGTTGTGCTAGAAAAGAAAACGTATTTTGTCTTCTGCTTGTTGGAGCTAAACTTTTAACTTGGATCTTCTGCTGTGATCTTTGTAGGAGGCAGGGGTCTGGCCGAAGAAAAGATTCAGAAGGTATATACTATATATGCCCATCTACTTGATTGTCCATCCATTCAGGCACCGCACAAGTGTAGACTTCTTTGAGAACTAAATGGTCTGTTTGAATTACAAAGTTGATAATACAAACTGAGTATGTTTCCAAGTTCCATGTGGACAAGTTTAAATTTCTATATATTTGGAGCTATCTTTATCAGGAAATAAAGTCTTATATTGTTCTCATCTCGCAAATTCAGGACCATCGCAACGCTGCACACAAGGAGGGAACGACAGCTCTAGGCAGTCATCCAAGGAACCTCATGGTGAAGACGAATGACTACGGCCGCTACGACCCGACTCCAGCGTTCTCCAGGCCTCGCTTCAAGCCTATACCTCACTGATGGACATGACCGTTGCTCTGCTCCTGTACAGTCATAAATATGGTTAAACTAATTAACAACATATATACGTATATAACTAAATCAGAATTGATGAGTATAGTACTATGGTTGTCATTTCTGTAAGGTATGCGAACCACTGGTTCGGGCACTGTTTTCCTAAGTTTGTAACTGATATAAGAGTAAGGGTTGTACTGTATGTCCAATGTTATATTTATAGTTATGCAATATGCCACAAAAACAATATGTTTAGATACTCCATTCAGCGATGAATTACAATTGTATACTTTTAGTCGCATATAACACATGTTTCACTGGTAAAATTGACGACCTAAATACATGTGCCACTACTGGAATCGCCGCCTTTGCCGAGTTCCAGAGGCTTTTGTACTCGGCAAATAAATGTTGTAGACGGAACGGAGCAAATATCAAATGCTTTCAGAGGCTTTTGTATCCAGCAAATAAATGGTGTAGATGGAACAGAGCAAACATCAAGTTCTTTCTAGGGGCTTTTGTACTCGGCAAATAAGGGCTCCTTTTATTCAAACGATTTGCATAGAAATTTTGGAGGATTGGAATCCTTAGAATTTTTCCTATGTTGATTGTTTGATTCATACGAATTTGATGGTACGAATTTGACGGTATTGCTTTGAGCAACTTGCATATCCTATACTGCTCCTGTTTGGATACTCTAACTTAGCTAGATGTTAGACTAACTCATGACTAACCATGAACTAACTGTAGCCAAAGAGGTGTTTGGATGACAGGGTTAGATTGACAATAAATGTACTTGATGGAGAGAGAAAAGTGATTTTAACTAGCTCCAATTAGCACCACTTGGCTGGCGGGATAGAGAGAGAAAAGTGATTTTTTAGTGGGCCCAACGAGAACTACCTCCAATTAGAACCTCTTGGGTGGGATATTTTTTTGGTGGGTTTGGTATAACTTGCTTCAATTTAATCCCCATGTTTGGATACTTTAGGGCTATTTGAGCCCCAACTAGCTCAAACTAACTCTAACCCATGGATCCAAACAGGGCCAAAGTTAGTCTCGGAAAACACATTAAGCCCTATATGCATGGACAAACAAAGTACATGATACTAGCAAACGCTCGCCATTAGTAGTAGTTCATTGGTTGGTTTTGATTTTTGATTCAGTTGCTCTGCTGCTACCGTCCAATATTCGCGTGTGGTTGTCTCTAGAATAAAAAAAGGAGGTAGTACTTACTGTAGGAAAGGTGAAGTGACGGTTGCTTCGCCCGAGCAACTTATTACTATGGGAATATTGGAGTACCAGCGGATTCAACGAACAGAAAAATGATGGTTGCTTCGTCCGAGCAACTTACAGTGGCGAAAATGGGGCTCTATGATTTGACTGCTCACTAGTCATTATTACTATGGCGCAACGACCGGGATGAATCTTTCCCTGCAGTTGTGCACCCAATATTGCTGCATGGCAGGTGGATCCGGATGAAGGATGTCCCACATATCGGCGAAACGAAGTTGAATTGTTTCCGGCATTGCAATCAATCCTTCAGGATTTGTTTATATGCAAGCATAATTTTAATGAAATTGTACTTTGATGCTATGAAGGTTTCAACTTTGATTCCCGCAGGAAAAAAAAGGTTTCAACTTAGGATTCATGTGTCCTCTTGCCCCAAGATTGTCTCTTTACAACATTCCATCAAATACAAAAGAAACTACCATGGCTGCTAATGCATCTCAATGATTCACATACCAGTGCCAATATTCACATCACAACTGAAGACAAAGTTGTGAGTGAAGGAAATATGCCCTAAAGGCAATAATAAAGTTGTTATTTTATATTTCCTTATATCATGATAAATGTTTATTATTCATGCTAGAATTGTATTAATCGTAAACTTGATACATGTGTGGATACATAGACAATATACAGTGTCCCTAGTAAAGCCTCTACTAGACTAGCTCGTTAATCAAAGATGGTTAAGTTTCCTAACCATAGACATGAGTTGTCATTTGATGAACAGGATCACATCATTAGGAGAATGATGTGATGGACAAGACCCATCCGTTAGCTTAGCATAATGATCGTTATGTTTTATTGCTATTGCTTTCTTAATGTCATATACATATTCCTTTGACTATGAGATTATGCAACTCCCGGATACCGGAGGAATACCTTGTGTACTATCAAACATCACAACGTAACTGGGTGATTGTAAAGATGCTCTACAGGTATCTCGGAAGGTGTTTGTTGGCTTGGAATAGATTGAGATTTGAATTTGTCACTCCGAGTATCGGAGAGGTATCTCTGGGCCCTCCCGGTAATGCACATCATAATAAGCCTTGCAAGCAATGTGACTAATGAGTTAGTTGCAGCATGATGCATTACATAATGAGTGAAGAGTCTTGCCGGTAATGATATTGAACTAGGTATGAAGATACCGATGATCGAATCTCGGGCAAGTAATATATCGACAAAGGGAATAACGTATGTTGTCATTACGATTTGACCGTTAAAGATCTTCGTAGAATATGTAGGAACCAATATGAGCATCCAGGTTCCACTATTGGTTATTGACCGGAGAGGTGTCTCGGTCATGTCTACAAAGTTCTCGAACCCGTAGGGTTCGCACGCTTAACGTTCGATGACGGTTTTGTATTATATGAGTTATCTGATTTGGTGACCGAATATTGTTCGGATTGCCGGATGCGATCACGGACATGATGAGGAGTCTCGAAATGATTGAGAGGTAAATATTCGTATATAGGACAATAGTATTCGGACACCGGAAGTGTTCTGGGGGTACCGGGTACGTATCGGGTCACCGGAAGGGGTTCGGGCAACCCCCGGCAAGCTATATGGGTCTAATGCGCCAAGAGGGGAAACACACCAGCCACTAAGGGGTTGGTGCGCCCCCTCCCCATATGGTCTAGCCAAATTGGAGAAGGAAAGGAAAAAGGGAATAGGATTTCCCTTTCCCCCTCTTCCCTTCCTACTCCGAATAGGAATAGGAAAGGGGGAGGACGAATTGGGAGGACCCCAAGTAGGATTCCTCCTACTTGGGGTGCCCCCTTGGCTGCCTCTCCTCCCCTCCAACCTATATGTATATGTGGGGGGGCACCGCTAGAACACACAACAAACATTGTTAGTCGTGTGCGGCGCCCCCTCCAAATTTACGCCTCCGGTCATATTCACGTAGTACTTAGAGTACTTAGACGAAGCCCTGCACGGATCACTTCACCATCACCGTCATCATGCCATCATGCTGACGGAACTCTCCCTGAACACTTTGCTGGATCAAGAGTTCGAGGGACGTCATCGAGCTGAACGTGTGCAGAACTCGGAGGTGCCGTATGTTCGGTAATTGATTGGTCAGAACATGAAGAAGTTCGACTACATCAACCGCATTGTCAAACGCTTCCGCTTTCGGTCTACGAGGGTACATGGACACACTCTTCCCCTCTCGTTGCTATACATCTCCTAGATAGATCTTGCGTGAGCGTAGGAATTTTTTTGAAATTGCATGCTACGTTTCCCAACAGTGAGAATGTGTACACATAAAGAAAATATATAATTGATCGATGCTGTTCGTAGCCATGGCTCCATTTCCTGGGCACAATGTTCATTGGTTGGCAGCTAGTTTCACCCAGCTCTGTAGCCAAAAAGAGGTGTATGGAGAACATCACAATCCGATCATTTTGTGCAGCTCCACTAAAATCGAGCTGATCATCCCTGTTTGCAAAGATTTTCAGTCAGTGTGATTGCAATAATAGTGGAACTAGATGATGAAACATAACACATACAAATAGAAGCCCATCACCTCTGCGATCTTTCTTTAGGACTAACTACTTGCTGGAGAAGATTAGGCACGAAGTTGTTGGGGAACGTAGTAATTTCAAAAAAAATCCTACGCACACGCAAGATCATGGTCATGCATAGCAACGAGAGGGGGAGTGTATCTTCATACCCTTGAAGATCGCTAAGCGGAAGTGTTTATCAACGCGGTTGATGTAGTCGTACGTCTTCATGATCCGACTGATCCAAGTACTGAACGCACGGCACCTCCAAGTTCTGCACACGTTCAGCTCCATGACGTCCTCGCCTTCTCGATCCAGCAAGATGGGCGAAGTAGTAGATAAGTTCCGGCAGCACGACGGTGTGGTCACGGTGTTGGTGAAGAACAATCTCCGCAGGGCTTCGCCTAAGTACTACGGAAACTATGCCGGAGGATAAACTAGAGGGGACGGGGTTGCCGGCACACGGCTTGGTGTTTCTTAATGTGTCTTTGGTGCTAGCCCTGCCCCTCTATTTATATGTTGAGCCTTGGGTCGAAACTTGGAGTAAAAGCCTCCACAAAGTCGGTTTCACCCGAAAGGCAAGAGTCCTTCTCGGACTCCAGGGCCAGACTCCAGGGTTCCCGGCATCTAGACCCAGACGCCAGGGACCCTGGTGTCTGGCCCCTGGACTCCGCAAAACTTCCTTTTGCGCTTTCCAAAAACCTTGTGGGCTTTCCCCTTTGGCCCAAATAACGTGTTCTCGTACCCAAACATTTCGGGAAACATCCGGAACCCCTTCCGGTGAATTCCGGAACCCTTCCGGAGATCAAACACTATTATTCCATATATTAAACTTTATCTCCGAACCATTTCGGAGTTCCTTGTCATGTCCATGATCTCATCCGGGACTCCGAACAACATTCGGTTACCAACATACATAACACATATAATACTATATCATCAATGAAACGTTAAGCGTGCGGACCCTACGGGTTCGAGAACTATGTAGACATGACCTAGAACTGTTTCCGGTCAATAACCAATAGCGGAACCTGGATGCTCATATTGGCTCCTTCATATTCTACGAAGATCTTTATCGGTCAAACCGCATAACAACATACGTTGTTCCCTTTGTCATCGGTATGTTACTTGCCCGAGATTCGATCGTCGGTATCTCAATACCTAGTTCAATCTCATTACCGGCAAGTCTCTTTACTCGTTACATAATACATCATCTCACAA